TGTACTCAATTTACCCCACATATCCCGTCAGCACCCAAGCGATCAAGGTTTACTGTGATATGAAAACGGATGGCGGAGGCTGGACTCTRGTGTTTAGCTATACTTTCACAAACTACGGCAGCTTCGGATCTGGTTCAAATGCAGTGACCCCCCAACCGACCTGGCMATCTAGTGGTGATGTTSTAAAATCTACCACTCCTCCYCTCAATGAAACTCATTACGCCGCCATTGATTTTAATACATGGAAAGAGATTGGAAACGAGGTAATGCATGAGCTATACATATTTATGACCCGCAGTTTAGCATGAAAGAATAGCATCGTACAAAAGTTTTTTTCCCCTTTAAACAGGTCGATATTTCATTTTAAAARTTTGCTATGATCAGATGAAAGTTCAAGCGGTATTATTAACAGATTATCGTAATAATTTTAGCTCATGGTCAAGTCCAACATCAATCACTKGATCAAGTGTCAAGACCGTACTGGTAGTCTAGTTAACTGGAAGAAGGGGAGTGTCACGTGTCAAATTGTCAAAAACGTTGCTTCTAAGTGTCAGAACTACGTCCCTGATTCCTTGACTTTATATACTTTTGGGCCAGCTTTCATACGATCAAGTTCTGCCTACTACTTCTTCGAAAGCTCAACGACAAGCGGTAACTGGCCAACCCATGATCCTTGTGGAGCCAATCAAAAGAACCATTTGGGGGGTGTTGACAGTCCCCATGGAAACATCTACGTACGTTAAACGACCACGGCTCTCAATTTATTTATTCAAACTCGCATGGCATGTATATGGTTAGCACCGACTTTTCTTACTCCTAAATGCTCTTATCCATAAAATGAAACTTTAAAAAAAAAAATCGTAAAAAGCCATCCTCATTTTAACTTGTAATAAATTTTTATTTTTGATGCATGCGGCTATGGTATTAATGTCAATGACAGCCAACTTCTTAAACTCGATCGTGCTGTATTAAGTTGACGTGACAAAATAACTGATATACAAGATTAAAAAGCAAGCAGACGTAAAGTTTGAAAGATCAATGATATTTTAGGATATTCAGTATTCTTTTTGTTTTAAAATGTGCCTACAAAATTCACAAATGGTTCGCGATTTTTTTGCGAAGTTAACCCTTACTAAACGCTTTGAATATGATCCATTGGTTTATTAGTGCTACAGAGCTGACCCACACTCATCAGGCAATTTACCGTTAGATACCATACGCTGGTAATTTGAAAGAAGATGGTTGCTAGGTTACATTTATCAGGTTACATAGAAGTTCTTGAGCGTGTATTTATTTCTGTGGGGACATGGGCTTGCGAATTCGTTATGCTTGTTTAGCGAAGATAAGTTTTTCTTACAGATGATTATAAACTTTTTGTTCAAGCATAAATTACATTGCAGTGAATGGTTAGCCTGCTTTACATCCCGGAAATTTCACACCGGATGTAACGCAGGCTATGAATGGTTAAATAATGTCTTCAGACATAAATATAATTTAATTTAAATGAATTTTTGGGTTCAATAGTATTTGCTCCTTAAAAATGTGAAAAAGTGCGCTCAACTGTGACCCCTATACCAATAACTTTTGGCAGTATCAAGAAATCTTTTCCTCAAAGTTCAAATTCTGTGGTTCAAACTTTCACAAATTCCTGCCAGTAATTATGCTTGTTTATGGGCACAGTTTGCCTCTATTTTATAGCTGTTATTTCCGCATTTGAAAGCCATAGTGTCTGGCTTTAACTTGTCAAAAAAAATGTTTTATAATGTTTGTTTTCGGAAAAAATCAATACTTAAAACATGGTAATTATTTTTATTCTAATAATAGCAAGTCTTTTCATGCTTTAATATGTATTCTTCACGGCTACAATGGAATTTAATTGGCTTGTTAATAATACATTTTGATTAATATTTGTTGATTGTTTCTTTATTTAAAACCTATATGGACTTCATTCCTTGATATACATGGTCTTAGCATTTTTAAAAAGTTCATATTCTGGTCATATCTGAAGGACATGTTAGAGTCTCTTGTTAAGAAGTTGCAGCTGTCACCGCGAACACGAGAGTGTAATCGACTTCAATGAGAGCGTAAAGAAATAGTAAGCCAACATGGTGGATACAAATCGAAGTCTTGAAATATCTAAATATCTTTGAGTATATGTAATTCGTTTATTTAGCGTCAATAATTCAAAAAAATATATATAATTCCTAAATTTTGTGTTRAAATTTCAGTCAAAAGTGTCTTTGCGTGAAATTTAGTGTAGCAGTATATTTCTTTTATTCCGTAAAATGCATAAGAATAGATTTTAGAGATTGATGACGCAATATGCTCACCAAGAATTGTTGACACCTGCGGTAGAAGGAATCTGTATTTAGTTTTTCTCCCTTTGTAGCGGTCAGATAGTGTCTAAAATGTATTTAGATTAGCTCCTTGTAATCATGTTTTTTGCCTCTTTTCTTTCTGTTTTACGCGTCTTTGTTCACCCTGTCCCTTGCATATTTCGTTCTTAGTTTTGTTTAGTTCGGTATGTAAATTTCTTCAGTTCTAGTAAGTGTAGAAGACGTCATGTATTTGGATGAATGTAGTGTTTCACAATTTTAATGTAGCCTACGCCGTGTTTGACATTCGTTTGTATAGTTATAGTAAATCAAACGAATGTCAAACACGGCGTAGGCTACATTAAAATTGTGAAACACTACACCCTTCAATCAAAGTTCGGTTTAAAAGACATCTGGTGTTATCCCTGAACGGTTCCATTGTACCTCAAGATGGGCTTTGGGTTCGTGTCGGTACCGTATCATGAAATTTTTAATTTCATTTAGCGTATCATGACATTCGCTATGCAGTCTCATGAAATTCTTTCCTGTATTGTATGGACCGCGGAGCAGGGAGCGCTGGGGGGCTACAGCGCCCCCTCCCCCTCCCCCCCAAATAATTTTTCCGACATTTGAATTCTCTTAAATAAAGAAGCGAAGAGCCTCCTTATGAAATTTCACCATATATATTCTATAAAAATTGTGTAAAAACTGAGCGTGACCAATTAAAATTGAAGCTTTTTTGCGAAGTCTTTGGGATTTATTGATAATATCGCTGACCGTGTGTGCGGTAAAATGTCTTTGATAACGCCTCGAAACGCTGCAAATGACATTTCCGCAAGTTAAGATTTCAAAAATTTCCGAGTCCCCTCTAGTACCTCCTCGCCGCTAGCCCCCCTACCAGTCAAATTCATGCTCCGTGGTCCCTGTATTGTAATATTGTGTTTTTTTTTGGGTGACGCTATCAGCACTAATGCCGGCCAACGTTGTCTAGAAAGGCCTGAAGAAAAAAAGTTACTGACGTTAGAAAAAAGAAGAAAATGAAACCAATAAAAGAATGTTATGATATTATAGCAACGCTTGATATTGGGCTTTATGATTACATTGTTGAATAAAAATAAATTACTGTCTCTAGAGAGAATCGACTTTAAAGGGGGCCAAAACTAATCTACCTGTCTCTGTCATTATTAATCATCCATAAAAACATTCTCTCTTCAGTTSTATCCACCTTTCTATCGATCCATTCGCTCAACCATCGACCCCTCTTTTTTTAATTTCATGAACATTGTTTAGATTCCTTTGAGTCCTAACAGGAGAAAAAAAATGCGATAATTGTTTTTGCAATAGAAAGTGGAAATTCGAGAAAATTGCCACCGTGGTTCATTCATTACATGCTGCGGACTCATCAGTACTTGTTGTTACTTGTTGGTAATTATGGTTCTTTCGAGAGTTTGACAGAGTTATTGATTTATTTTTGCATGGTAAGATTAATGACATCGAAAGAGAAATTTAACTGCAAAATAGTGCACTTCTTAACATAAATTCCCTCCCTGATATTAACACATATTTCTTGAAACAAGATATCAGTTGCAAAATCAAAATATTTYAGATATTTCAGTTCTCATGACTACCATTGGACTTTTATAATAAAGATTCACACTGACTTTCTGCTTCCTGGGGGTTCATTGTTTTCACTGTTCCGCGAGAACTTCGATTACTTTTGATTATAGAACTTCACTTAAAGTGTGGCTATATTATGTTTAAGTAACAATGCGCTAAAGAACTAGGGAACTCTCTATTGTTCTGCGGCATAGCAAGTTCCCCATGTACGAATGTCTTGGTTTTCACACTGATTATGTATCCATCTGTGGGTAACACATTTTTGAAATAAAATGTGGATAAACTCTATTTTGAAACAAAGTTTCTTTTGTATTAAAAGCTCTTATCCAATCACAAGCACTCAAAATAATAGCCAAAAGATGCTTTTAATTTGTTATGTTCCCCACGTAGAATTGCCTTAATATTAAAGCTAAAGAAAGCTTTCGTGAAAGCGAAAACAGACATTAAATAAAATATTAGAAAATTCGCTAACTTGTGAAATTATAGCAGATTTTCATGTTTTAACCAATGGGATGGATGGATTATACAATGCACAATTAGCACCTTCTTGCATTCCTGTGCCGTTTGCTTCCCTAGTTCTTACTCGGGGCATTACTTAAGATTTGTAAGATAATTCATTTTCAAACATAATGCACCAGAGATGCACAAATACTTAATTTTGTTTGTATGTTTTATTTTCTGCCCAATCAGTGTCAAAGATGCATATTCAAGTGCAATTAGCACACTATTGGATTACTTTCTTTGGATATTTGCACTGTAACAGCTGCYCTTGTATTATTAACATGTTTAAAATCTATTCAAATTCAGTTATCTTTAAGTGTATAGTGTTTTGCTAACTTGCTTGCTAGCCTAATGATGAGTTCCTCAATGGCGATTTTGATCGTTATTTTTTTCTTCTTCGTATTAAGCCACACCGAATGCAAAGAAACATTTGAAGTGAAATTGTTTGATTATAATCGTGGGAAAAAGTTAACTGTGCACAGCRCAACACAAAATCAATCTCTTCAAGTCAAGGACAAGATGGAATGYTTTGGCAAGTGCATTGGAATTGATTGGTRCCAATCGGGTAATTTTAAAACCACTCCTGAAGATAATGGTCAACATATTTGTCAACTTTTSCCTTCTGATCGATTTACTAAAAGTAACGATTTTAAAGACGATTCCGCATACGCTAATTTCAACTTTAAGGTAGGGTAGCTARTTTTTAAACTTTTTTTAAGAATTTAGTGAGGTATAAACAAAGACAAGTTTCGTTTCTGTCATTGTGTTTATGCCCAAGTGAATTCTTAGTTAGTTGATAACTAAATCTTGTTAAATGTTGATAGTTAGGAATTGCGCGTTTCACGCTTTTTTTGCGTGCACTCTATCATTTCATAAACATTGCTATATTTACGATCAGCGACACAGCGCTTCCCTTATTACTTAATCATTGAAGGAGAACATTTACGACGAAGATAAATTGGAAAATTTGAGACCTSGTCTTTCACAGGAAGACCATGTAACAAGGCATCAGTTGTTTCAAAAACATTTAGTGCAAGAGAATTACGGAAAATGTATCGCTTCTATTTAAATTGAGCTCAAAATAATGATTTTCGCACGTTCAACAATAAAAACCAGAACTTATACACCCTTTTAATAAGTCCCGACGTATCGAGTTCTCCGCACTTGACGTCAAATTTATTCTTTTGAAATTTTTACAATACAAAAGGAATTCAAAAGAATAAATTTGACGTCAAGTGAGGAGAACACAATACCTCGGGACTTATCAAAAGGGTGTATAAATGAATTTCACTGATATTAATAGTAAATATAATGGATCGTAAGTAGGTAGTATGGTTGATTTTTGGGTAAATTTATAAAAGATATCATCATTTTCAGAGCCAATGCAATGCCAATAACAAGCCATGTCTTAATGAAGGGGAATGCATCAGCAATGAACTTCGTTGCAGATGTAAAAATGGATTTTCTGGTGAACAGTGCGAAATTGGTATGATGACTGTTAATTTTAACTAAATCACTGATGTTTTCAYGACAGAAATTTATTGTTTAGTATTAAGCTTGTTGCTGTTGTAATTTTCATTGTGTATAATTTACGTTTCATTAATTCAGTCTATTGTTCGAATAAACAGTRGATGGATTCCACCTTCTGCAACAGYTGATYTTTGAGCGTCTTACTTGAAAATTCTTTATGGACATTTTTATCATATTAAGTGCATGTCGATGCTTTTTTAAGCAGAAATATGCACAAAAATAAATACTTTGAGTGCTTTATTATTTCTTCCTACACCATAATACAGGCGGCCCTTAGGCTGGAGGGGGTTTCGGTAGGTTCGGCAATGCGCACAAAATGCAGGAAACTTTCTATTGTTCTGCSGCATTTGCAACTTCCCCAGGCCACATACGAATGTCTTGGTTTTCACACTGATTATATATCAACCTATGGGTAACAKATTYTTAAAATAAAATGTGAATAAACTCTGTTTTGAAACAAAGTTTTTTTGTATTAAAAGATCTTGTCCAATCATAAGCACTCGAAACAATAGCCAAAAAATGCTTCTAATTTGGTATGTTCCCCACATAGAATTGCTATTAATATTAAAGCTAAGGAAAGCTTTTATGAAGTAGGAATCAGATATTACACAAAATATTAAATAATGTGCTTGCTTTTGAAATTATGTCAAATTTTAATGTTTTAACCAATGAGATGGATGGATTATACAATACAAAATTAGCACCTTCATGCATTCCATTGCCGTTTGCTTGCCTGCTTCTTACTCGGACCATTACTTAAAAAGGTCCGGTATTTCCCTTTTTTTGTTCTATTTTAAAATTCTTTAGTATTTAAATAGTAGCTTGTTATGAACTCTCATTCTAGCGGCCAATTCTTACACACTATACCTGTGCATTTTACTAATTTATCAAAAAATTTAAGTTAGGTCCGCATTATGAAAAAACGAACCTCCCCATTTGTAAGGCATCCTGCGGGCCTGTATGGTCACCATAAAGGAATTGACTTGTTTCAATACTCGAATGCACAAATCCTCCATTCGACAGACCATTGATTAGTAATTAATTTATGTGTTTCCAGTGCCAAAGACTTGTCGTGAAATACATCAGAAAAACCCTTCTTTGCCATCTGGAGTGTATTTGATCTTCCCTAAAGACCCCACTGGGAAAAAGTTTATGAAAGTGTATTGTGATATGGACACKGCTGGTGGAGGCTGGACACTAGTGTACAGCTACACTTTTACAGCATACGACAGCTTCGGAGCTAGTGCAAATGCAGTGACTCCTCGRCCGACATGGCCAATGAGTCAAGGCTCTTTAACGCCAATATCTACAGTTCCTCCTCTCAGCGAAACTCAGTACGACGCGATGGATTTCAACGAATGGAAGACGATTGGAAACGAGGTAATGCTCTATTGTACTAGCCTCTCTTGCAGRCGTTGTTGGTATCGGTCATGAACGTATGACCGATATTAATAATACGTCTGCAAAGGAGACTACTATTGTACATACCAAAGCAACTGTCAATTAGMATGGTAATCTGGCAAGTATCTTTTAAAAATTAATTTGTTTTTAATTAAAAAGTCATGTATTTTTCATAGTGACTATGCAACAATAAGCAATAAATCTAATACGGACATACGTCAGGAGGAATCGTGTTCAATATGCCTCTTGTACAAATACAAAACATAGCCCTGAAGAGTTGAATTTTCCACGATTTAAGTCTGGAACTGTATACCCAGAAGGCTCCATTTTGCAGCCTCCATTTTGASTGGAAAACGGCAATTTATATCAAATTTTATTATGTCAATTTTCAGTTTTTTATCAAATCCAATATTAATCACTGGATTAAGTGCCAAGAAGGAACCGGTAGTCTGGTGAACATGAAGGCCGGAAGTGTTGCATGTGATGTGATCAAAAATGTTGCACCTGTATGCCCCAATCACTCACCTGATGGTCTCGCCGTTGACGAGGGACCATCTCTCTGGCGCTCATCAAGTTTGGCMSTCTTAAGGGTGTATTACTACTTTGATACCTCTACTGCCTSGTATYTTKTGCCTATTTGGCCAGTGAACGACCCTTGTGGAACGAGTAGTAGTCAGAATCACGTGAAAGGGATCAGTAATCCTCATGGCAAYATCTATATTCGGTAGAGCAAAAAACGTTATAAAGCTAAGAGACATGGGGAYGGACCAAATAACGGCAGCAAGTTAACTAAGACCGAAGGGGCTCTTTAGAACGGTTGAGTTACGTTCTATTAGCCTCAATCATGTCAATTGTTTTTAAAATATGAAGAAATGTAGATAGAACTCGTAAGACTTGCAACTATTTTCATTGTCTTCGTCTATACTCACAGATCTTTCGCATTTGCACGGGCTGTCAGGCCTACATGGTTTTTTAGCTAACGCAGTGTAAAAGAGATCGAGTTTATTGTTATAAGTTGAATCATATTTTCCTAAAGATCGAATACCGTATATTAGAACTTTWCTTATAGTGACCACTTCTATTCAGTGCAGGAAACGTTTGGGAAATAAAGCTCTGACATTTGCATGATAATAGCTATATATTATACTAATTTTCCTTTCACAAGACTCCCAGGCCCTTATCTCTTCACTTGTGGTCCAGACACATATCGTGTTTACTAGGTAGGTCAGTACTTCACCTTAAAACACAGTGTCATCTCAAGTAGTTAAGATTAGCTGATGAAAAACACAGTGAATAACGAGGGGGAGATATTGTCCAGCTTTTCTGTGTAATCAGTCTCTAATTGAAATGAATGAGGTCTTGGGTGGAAATCTCACCATGGAGCATGTAATCTCACCTGTCTTACATGTCGGTTAGATACTCTGGCGGAATTTAAGTTACGTAATCAGTAATTACAGTAATAAATGAATTCTAATTAAGCAGTGACTATTGCACGTGTAGGCAGTTACACAGCATGCATTATAAAGATTTAAGTACTACTTATTAAATAACATGTAATAAAGATGTTTAAAAACACCTCAACAACTTTTGATTGTACATTATTTTAAGTGAATATGTAGGTAAGCCTTTAACATGACTTAGTAAACGTTTTTTGTATAACTATACATATCAGCATATTAAATATTTATGTCCTTCTCATAATAAATATGATTAATAAGGCCTTATCCGAGTCCTAAAGTCGCTTAAAAGCACCTTAAGCCGAACTAAGTGATTTTTTTGATATTTTCTTAAATCACCTTAAAGCGTTTTAAGTTACCCAAAGTAACCTTTAATTACCGAGATCATGGGTAGTAGGACTATAAATATTTCAGTGACATYGTCTAAACATTTCGTTTACGAATAAACAGTTACTAGCTATAGTCAAAGTCTTATCGGCTGTGTCTCTTGAAAATCGYTCTGACGACAATCCGATATACACGAAATTATGAGAAAATAGACCATAAAGATGGCCTTGCTTGCAGGCGATGTGTTTGCTTTTGTTTTACTTTTTGGAGTGAATTGCAAAGGTCAAGGAACATTTAAACACAAATTACTTGATTATCACCACAACAAAAAGCTAATTCTTCCAGTCATGGCCAAAACGCAATCTGTTCAAGTAAGCCACAAGATTGAGTGCTTTGACAAGTGCACCAGAGTGCAGTGGTGCCAGTCGGGTAATTTCAAGTCCAGTGTAGAGGATAATGGCCTCCATGTTTGTGAACTTTTACCTTCTGATCAGTTTACTGAAAGTAATTACTTGTCTGATGAGCATRCATACCTCCATTTTTATATCAAGGTAAGCTTCAATAGTGATAATTCCCGGTAAAATAATCTTTATCTTSAATTCCCCAGATTTCAAAGCTAGTATTTTAATATTACAGATACAAAAACAAAATGCCTACATTTTAAAAATTTTGAACTTTTTTAAGATTGTTTTCAAAATGTAAGTTATTAAAAATTTATCGGTAGCATTTATATAACTATGAGTTTGCTAGCATCACCTCCATTATATGCAATCAATTCAATCTCTTCTGTATTGAACTCGTTTCATTTATGACGGAATGAATGAGTTTCCAGTAATTTGATCCCTCGCCAAACGCAATGCATGCATGGATTGCCAAGGGGCAAACAAAGTGTGATCTACAAGAGTTTGTATGGCGGAAATTCGTATTTTCATGTTTATCGCTCGATTTTTCAGTGGATATGGAACTTTTTTACGCTGTTTTTACGGGATATTATTAGGAGGANCGAAGTGTTACTGTGTACATTCACACTGCGAAGTGCGAAAGAAAATCGAGTTTTTCGCCTATAATTTTACATATATCGTTCTAAACTTACGTATCCAGATTGTACAACTTCCTCCTAATAATATCCCGTAAAAACAGCGTAAAAAAGTTCCATATCCACTGAAAAATCGAGCGATAAACATGAAAATACGAATTTCCGCCATACAAACTCTTGTAGTTCACGCTTTGTTTGCCCCTTGGCAATCCATGCATGCATTGCGTTTGGTGAGGGATCAAATTACTGGAAACTCATTCATTGCTGTTTTTTTTTTCACAATGATTATATTTTAATTTGTGCTATGCACTTTTCAAGCTTATTTTATCATTGTACAAATCCAATTTGACTTGAATGCGCCTGAGTTTGAACCAAACCTTTGTTTTGTCAGACAACATGTCATATCAACAAAAAGCCATGTCTTAATGGTGGTGAGTGCATCCWKGAAGGCGACAGGCAATTGTGTGAATGTAAAGATCGTTTTTCTGGGGAGCAGTGCGACGAAAAAGGTACCAACAAGATGCAGTAACTATGCTTTCATTTGAGTGCTGTTTTAATATTAAATCTGACATGATTTTTTACATTTCAATGCAGCTAAGCTAACCAGTACTCAGCMGCCTACAGCACAACAACAAGGTATTGTGATGAAATACAAACTACTGACTCTCGTACACGGCGTTCTTCACGCATTCTTTTCACTCTATCAATGATTGATTTTTGATATCCATATATCTTTTGTTTTTATGCAGTTAGCTCTACCCAGCTTCAAACAACTGCACAAGGTATTATTGACAAATGAAAAGTTATATTGTCTTTCCTTTTTTTCATTGACCGACTGCCGTTGAGATCACCTTTCCTATGTATTCGGCGCTTTTGCCCACCTCCTCGTTCTCTTTCAGCTGCTCAGGTTGATGATATTAGTTTTAAAAATATGTATTCATGCTTTTTATGCTTCCCTCCATACAGATAGCACTTCCCGGCAATTGCCAACAACAGCACAAGGTAAAATTTCACTGTTTTACTTTATATGGTTGCCATGAAATCATCTGTGTAACTTATATATCTTTTTAGTATAAACATACTAATGGTCTATCACTCATACTGCGCTGTGATTGGCTACTCTACTAATGGTCTATCACTCATACTGCGCTGTGATTGGCTACTCTACTAATGGTCTAATTTTGTGATAGACCACTCGCGGGAAAATCAAAATGGCGGCATCTCATTAATAAATTATTTTAAGGATATTTCAATTTTTTTTCATTATTTGACCAATTAGTATGCTTATACTAAAACAATTAGACCTCTCGGCCTCGTGGACTACGAGCTAATATCCCATTCGGCCTCACGGACTCGGCCTCATGAGCTATTAGCTCGTAGTCCACTCGACCTCGAGGTCTAATTGTTAATTAAACGCACCGGCTTTGAATCTATTGTTTGTTTCGTTGTTCTTWAACACCAAAATACGAACTAAATMAAAAAATACTAACCAAWTSATGTAAAACAAATTCTCGAATTGCTARAATTGAAGAAACGATATTAAACACAACCATAGAAATAACYTTAAGACTACTAAACGAAARATTTTTGTTTGCTTCACTTTTKCAGCACCAGGGAGCTCATCTGACGCAGCATCAAAGTCTTGCAATGAGATCCATCAGATGCAGCCCTCTTTTGTTTCCGGTCTTTACTGGATTAACCCCACTGGTACCCAGGCTTTCCAGGCTTATTGTRATATGGAAATGGAAGGCGGAGGGTGGACACTGGTCTATAGTTATAAATTTGCAAATTATATCTATTTTAATMGAGGGTCGAATGCAGTGAGCCCTCAACCGACTTGGCCATCAACTGGTAATATTCCAAAATCTTCCACTCCTCCCCTAAGTGAAATTCAAGGCGCTGCGATGGACTATGCAATATGGAAGACCATTGGAAATGAGGTAAGTGCAAGAGTAGTTATTATACTCCAAAAGATGATAAGCAGCACGTTTTCCTATATCAAAAATATTAGTCAAAATTTGTGATCAATAAAAGGACCTGAGTTGTCATGCATTTGGTCTGACTGAACATTTAGTTGTCCAAAATCTTTAATACAGCTGGGATGACTCAAGCTTGAACTTCACTGATATTCATAGGAATATTGTTTTGGACTGCAGTCTTGCAGACTATGGAATATCAGTAACACTGTGAATTTTTTCCAGTTTGTCATTAAATCCAATATCAATCACTGGATCAGGTGTCAAGAGCAAAGCGGAAGTCTGGTAAACTGGAAAACGGGATATATCACATGCAAAATGATCAAAAATGTTGCTCCAGTCTGCCATAATTACGTCCCTAATTACTTGAATATTGATAATTTGGGACCACGTCTTGATCGTACACAGAGTATTGGCTTTTTAAAGGTCTATTACTACTTCGAAACCTCAACTTTTTCACTTAACTGGCCAACGCACGACCCTTGTGGGGCAAATGGTGTTAACCATGTAAAAGGTGTTGTCAATCCGCACGGCAATATCTATATTCGGTAGATTGGGATTGAAATACAACTTGCACCCAGAGAAAAGACACTATATTGGTTTTGGTTCAGGCACAGAAAACATGTAAGAGCACTGGAAACATTTTAACGTCGAACCTTATAGACCTAATCGGCTAACGCAATGCTATCAGCGTTTCCAACCAAATCAAACCACCCGGGAGTAAGTTTTATTGCTCATTGTATTATTTTGTTATTTGCAACATATAAATTTACCATTAATTGAATGTGGTGTGTATGTAGTCATTTATGTATGATGGGAGTTTCAACTATTCCACAATTTTTCAAGAACTCACCTTCACAATTCTAGTATATCACGTCTTAGTTTTACAACATTCAAGCCTCAATTAAAATTCGTTTTTTTAAACGGTATGCATGAGACTAAGCAACCTTTAAATACAATGTTGTATAATAACAGAAATAAATTTCTGGAAAATACTTTCACGATTAACTATTAATTATTTAACATCGGTTTAACACTATGCAAAATCTTTATGAAAAAATATAATTTTGCAATAAAAAAACGCGCTTTATATTCATATAAGCACTTTAAACTCTATATTTTACAGCAAAGCGTAGTTATGATAGCTTAGGAGACATTAAGTGCAATAAAATGTTGATTATTTGAATCATTTTTTTTGTGTTTTTTTTTGTGTTTTTTTGTGTTTGTTTGTTTTCAGATATCGATAGGGTCACATTGAAATCAAAGCCCTTTCGGGCTTCCTGTGGTTTTTGCACCACGCGCGTCAAATCCCGCTATTTATGTAAATGAGCTAAATGAGAATTGTTTTGAAAAATCCATTTAGCTAGATAATTTCAACGTTAAAATGTTCTGTTTTTATCTCCTGTTATACTTATTAACCACAAAAARGACACTCAGTGGAAAAGCTAGAGGAAAACGATTCCTTCTAGTTGAAAAATCTTTTTTAAAGATTTAAAAAACTATCAAATCCAGCCATGCAGAAGCCGCGAAGAAAATCTGTTCTGAAAGGTAACAAAATTCATATTATAAAGGCCTTTCCTATCTCTTTATCTTTCTTCGTCTTTCTTATTCGAAGGTTTTCGTTTCTTCATTTCGATTCACTCCAGATAATTCAACATTAATTGTCTCAATTCATCAAGAGTCGATCAACATTTTCTGAATTTTTGACTCGATTGGAAGAACGGCTCTAAAACTTATTTTGTTCCTTTCATGCCTGGCATCGGACAATAAAGATTTCTAATCTTTATTTTTAAAACCTTAAATTAAAAGCTTATATTTTGATATTATTTACATTGTAACTGCATCTTGAACATGCAAATTGTATATAAAACTTTCTTTGAGAGTATGTGACATGACAAAGAATGCTGAACAAAAGAAATTACTGACTAGCACGCAGAAATGAATTTTCAACCTGACCACCCTGCATTCATTAGCTGCATTCAAGCGCATTGATTGGGACGGCTTTAAGATGCAGTCTGTCATTAGTTTTGGTTAGTTTTCATCGTTGTACTTATTTACGAAGAGCTCAAACATTTGTGCCGAATGGGTGACTAGAATGAGCAACTTGCACAGTATTTGAAATATCGTTTATTTATTGAAGACGTTGTACTGTTGGCCAATATTCCCGTCTAAAGACACGGCTTTGGGAGACTTGGTTTTATTTTCCTGCTGTTGAAGTAAGCGTTAAAATCCTTTCTATTTATTGACACAAAGTCATTTCGTTTCTGAAGAGAAACTGTGTATCGACGCTTTATAAGGCTGCGCTATTGGCTTCACTTTGTTTTTTAGYGGAGGCGAGACCTCGATCAGTGTCAGTCAACTCTGTTTAGAAACATTTGAATATCTGTTGACGACGTTATTATTCAATAAAGCCAAAAAAAAGAAATATTAAAAAAATTAAATAGATACAGTTAAAAAGAAGGAAAAGAACAGAAAATAAAAAAACAAAATCAAAAACACAGTCACGATTTCTTCAAGAGTCTTATTATTGATAAGAAGAATTAGCAAACAGTAATTTCTTTKTTTTTTCTTTCCATCTTTGTTGATTCAATTTAGTTGTACAAGTTTGGCTAACATGCAGAAGCTACCATGAAGTTATCGGATGGCGATATTCTGAACAGATTTGTTCTTCTTGCCCAATGAAAGTAAGTACTGATGATGTTCTCTGCTAAGGGACGGTCCATTTAACTTTTGAGGGAGGGGGGGGAGGGGGAGGGGGTGGATGATTTCTTGTGAGCAAGATTTTTTTTTTCTTCGTGGCTTTTGGGTAGGATATAAATTTTTTCTCTTGGTGGTGTGTAGGATTTTTTTTCTTCTTGTATGTAACATTTTTTTGGGGCTTAGGGTGGTGCAAGATTTTTTTTAGGTCCATATGTTGTGCACGTTTTTTATTTTTGGTGAAGATAGCTTGCAGGATTTTTTTTTTTCAAAATCATGGACCGTCTCTAAACTCTAAAGACTCCGAGAACCTACTACCATATACAAAAAATAGGACTTTTTGATTGAGAACCAATCGAAACACTATTCAACAACTGATCATTTTTCAAACAAGCAATGGCAAAAGGTTCTAGGATGCGATTGTACATTTAAATTTTTTCATTTCGCTTCGCTCACGAGAGATCTTTTCAACACTCAAAGATAAAATTCGTATCTCTGACGCGCGCCCTTGCAATATCCACGAACAAATTCAAATCAGTAACTTCAATTTTATATTACAGCTATCACATGTGCTATCATAGTACGTGCTCTMTGATTGGTCAAATGTTATTGTTTATTTCACCGGTAAACGCACCGATGCGAAAATGCTATAATCTAAAAGCAATAAACAACACATTTTGTGCTATTTATTGCTTAAATTGCAGTGTTAAATACACAATTTATTAAAATTCATAACATCGTCTTTGACCAACGAGGTGCGCTGAAAGATGATCACTAACGTAAGTGCGAGYTATTGCCTTTAAGTTCAGTGACATTACTTGCGGACAACAAAAAATGAGTACTTCGTGGCACAAAATACAGAAAAAATACGTATTTTAAATAAACGTATTTAATAGGTTAAAGGTCTCAGGAGGGATGAGCGGTCTCTCTGCATGAGGAAACAAAACCATCCACACATAGTTTGCTATAGTCTTTTTAATGGCATATTAAATGCATTACAAATATATTTTCGTCCGAAGATTCTTTATTTCCTTTCAATGAATTTTAATGAACTGATGTGATCGCTATTCTTCGACGTCTCCAGGTTTTGGTCCATCTGTTTTATCTAAAAATTAAAAAAATAGTAATTGATTATCGCTTGTAAATTGCTATTTGTTTGTTTCCTCGTTGTCTCCAATCATTCATCTATCCATTAACTCAGTTTTTTCATATAGCATTTTATTCCAGCACTCCATCTATTGTGTTTTATTAATTGATCTATTAGTATACAAAGAATATTTCACCGTTTTAGAATTAAGAACTTTAAAGAAAAATTTTGAGTTCTTTTACCTGTAAATCGTATACTAACATATTATTCCTAGCTGTCCAATTAAGAAAATGATTGGAGAGGTATCATTTTAGGATTAATTAAGTAGATATATAATTATTACATTGATTCAACTGYAACCTCAAAGAGAATATCACGTACCTTCTCCCACTTCGTCCTCGCCTGGTTTTGGGACATAGTCCGGTAGCTCGCTTTCATCATTAGCTGTATATAACACATGGAATATGACTAAACATTGGTTATATTGAAACGGAGTTTCTTGTCATGTTACTGTTGCATTTCGAAATATAAACAATGACACTCACTCTGATACTGCTCATAATTTAAAAGACCGAAAGACATACAGATAATACGTTACTTAATTTAATAATACGTTTTTAATTTTTTTTRAGTGAGGCTGAAGAAATAAACTATGTTTGAGAGGAGTTATTTCGAAGTCATGTGTGTCTTTGAAGTTTTTCCTTATTGTCAATAGACTTCTGAAGCTCTATATCTACTTGATTTGCAGTACATTTTGGGTTCAGTTTTTGCAAAAAA